TTTTTTTTTTTTTTTTTTTTTTTCTACATAGAACAGAGCACATTTAAAGTATTAAATTTATCTAACAAACCGGACGCGTTCCAGTTGTAAAAATTGCACCAAAAAAGAATCAAATTTATCACTATTTCATGCATTCTTTTCTTTGAGTTTTTTCCTCTCTTCATGTGAAGTTCTTATATAATGATGAAACATTTATGCTTATTTATTTATATATTGCATATAGCTGAAAAATTATATAAAAAAGATATATATATTTTCACAATATAAGAATATGTAAAAAAAATTTGTCAGAAAACATTGATTTCCCTATCTTAATATGTTATTTTTGATATTATACGCTCTGTGCATAATATATTAAATAGAAAATGAAAAATAAATATATATTATGAGCTTTCGTCCACAGAAATTAAAATGACAAGTGGGAAATATTTGTATTACATAATTTTATCCTGGTGGTAGACGTAGCGATGACAGGTGGTAGTTGAGGTATTGGGTGGAAGTGCAGAGCTGCAATGAATAGAAAACTTCATGGATTTGCTTTGCCATTGGACTGACTTTGTACGTAGTTCTACCATTGGTTTTTCGTCATTTCATGTTTCTTCGGTATGGGGGTAATCAACCCTAAATATTAATTTATATCGACTCCAGTACTCCACATTTACTGCTAGTAGGTCCAATATATTTTACTACAGTTTATCAAAATTTAACTCTAAAAATACATGCTTCTGCCTCATCCCCGCTCACATTATTCTTTAATAAGTTATAATTGGTAAGTATAAACTAACATAGTAACATTCTCTTCACATGATCATGCAAACAAACAAGAGGTGTACAACAACATTATTAGTTAATTGTTCTTGCAGTTTCGAAATATGGATGGGTCTTCAACCCGTTAATTTACTAAATATTAGTAATTAATTTAAATGAAATAACTAAATATTTTCTGGTCACTTGGTGATCTAAATATTAACTCAGACATTATCACTGGATACAAGGTTAAGATTTGGACATTAATTAAAAAAATGGTAAATTTTTATTCGAAATTTTCAAAGACTAAGTTGACAAGATTAGTCTATGATCGACATTCCTAATTCTTTGCATGATTTCTTTTTCTTTTTTTTTTTTTACTTTCTTTCTGTCATTTTTGGAATAAATAAGGTTTAGAACAAAAAAAATATAGATTATAAATTGAATGGTTACTTTTCTAAGACATTTAATTAATGACAATCCAATTGGAGTTCATCCATTTCTTAACTTTCTTTTTCATCTCTTAAAGGAGTGTGCGATGTCTTAGTATAATAATTTTTTACTAAAATGGTTAATTTACGATGTGTAAAAAAATTATATTTTTTTTAACTAATAATTTGAAAATTCTCAATAATACAAACCAACTTATTTTTATTAATTGACAATTTTAACACTTATATTGAATAGGGAAGTTATCACAATTAAATAGGATTAAAGTTTAAAATAGCATTTTTTTACACTAATGTTGAATAACAAAGGTTCTTCTTGCATTAGCTTTAGCTATATACTAATTTATATTTATATATGTGCTCGAATTTAATGCATAATTAATATAAAAAATAGGATAATAATAATAAAAGTTTTTTTCATATTCATAAATGTCAATTATTACCTTAATAAAAATAAATAGTTTTAATTATCTATCGAATCAAACGACATATATATGCTCAAAATCCGTTTATTTATATAAATTTTGACCTTAAATACTATTACAAATGCAATAATAATTACAATAATAAATGAGAAAGTGCGATAATTAAGAGTTTGTTTTTGTTATACACTTACATATGTGAATGGTTATTGTAGAATTAAAATAAAAAAATTAATTATTTATATGCAACTATATTATATTAAAATAAGATTATTTTATATTATTTTCTTCCTATATGTCCGTAGGTGTGTCCATGTCAAGAAAAATATAAAAAGAATAAGTTTCCTAATACTTATTATTTTTTAATTAGCATGATTAGTAAAAGTCATTCCTGGTTCATAATTTATTTAAAAATTGTTGATCAAAATATGTTGTAATATAAAATGGACCGGATTTTTGATAAATAAATTCGAATGTATTTAATCAATATACATTGATGTATTTTACATTAATATAACACGTACATAAGTTAAATTCAAATTGAATTTGTTAACTTGATAATATATTACACTTAGTTTTAGTTATCTCTCTCTCTTTCCTTTTTGGCATGTAGCAAAAGAAAAGACGGCTCAAAAACATTAACGATCAAAACCATGGGTGAACCTATGGATTTCTATGGGTACGTTGTCAGCAACTTGAAACTAAATTAACAAAGATAATCTGCTGCTTCTTCATTCTTAGCTATCAACACAACTCTTCTGTCTGTACTAGATTCACAATAATCTAATATAATCACATTTTGAATACCTACTCAATGACACAGTACGACACTTTTTCGATAATCTATAACTCTAAATATTTATACTAAAATTTATATTTATAAAAAAAATATTATAAAATATAAATTTAATCGATTCAATCATTAAATTATAAAATATTATATTCAAATTATCTATATTAAATTCTATAAAATTTTAAAATTATTTAATTTAACAGTTAAAATAATTAAATTTACATTATATAAAATGTTGTTTTGCTCTTGCATCAAGTCATCATAATCATAATATAAGAGAGGTAGACTTCCCTATTTAGAAAAAGGAAAGTGATAAAAGCAATGACGAAAACATGTATTGAAAAATTTCAAGAATTAGTGGAATGAACCGGATTAAGACTTCATATATTTAACAAGTAACAAATTTGAAGCTTTATTTATTATTTAGAATAAAGTCAAAATATCTCTTTATAAATTATTATTTTTATGGTAAGAAACTTTTACTGCTAGAACACCATTTGCTTCCATACAATCTTTTACAATTTGAAAAAAACACAACCGTTGAAAAGAAAATAACAAATATATTAGATGATATATTTTTTCTCCAAATTATATATATGACGGTCTAGACAATGGTAATTGTTAAGAGGTATAGTCAAATTGGTGTGAATTGTTATAAATCTTTTTTATAGTCGAATTGATTAAATAATGTGTGAATTGTTATAATTTTTTTTTATGTATAATAATAACAACAAAGTTTAAATTAAGAATTTTATATATATTATTTCAATCTTTTATTATTAGGTAAGTCAATCCTAGCGTTTCTGTTATAAAATTTTAAAATATTGAATTTGATCGTAATAAAAAATCAATGTAATATATAAATATCTTAAATCATTATTGTATATTAATTTTCTATGAAAAAACATTTATTATTAGTAACTCTTTAAAGTTTTAAAATAATATCATATTAATAAAGCTTCCTTGAAAAATGTTATTGAAAGATAATTTTTTATTAATATATAAAATGTTACAGTAACAATACTGATGATTAAATTTAAATTTTCATGAATCTACCTTAATTTTTTTATTATTGGACAGATCTTAATAGTTATGAAAGAAAGAATAACTTTTAATAATGTTTTTTTTAAGAAAATGCTAGGGAATTTTCTTTAAAAAAAAAAGGCCAATTACATTTAATAGGTGTTATTTTTTGTTCAAAATAAATAAAATTTGAATTACTTTTTATTTTTGGGTCA